AGCTCATTGACTCTATTCCTCATAAACCTACTGTAGTAAATTTTTAGTTGAAAAAATTTTGTTGAGTATTATGGAAAAACATATCATAGATTGCATTTTTCATTTATTTACAATTTCTTTAAAATACAATTTTTTGCTTCAAGTATAGTCCATCATTAATGTTAAGTAAAATTTTTTTAATTACTATGTACAACGCAGTGCTTAACAAAATTTTTTTCTTGGCAATTACATGTTTAATGAAAAAAATAGCCAAGGCGTTTGAAAAAGTATTTAATTACTTTACTTCAAATACTTTACCATAAACTTTAATAAATAATATGTATTGCACTTATCTGCCAGAAAACATTTTTTTCTAAATTGTACAACAAATAGTGATGAATGAAAACTTTTTTTAGCAATAAATGCACTTTGTTCAGGAAATTTTTTTTTTTTATTAATGTTAAAAAAACCATAAAATAATTATGCCAAAGTCTGACGCCACTTTCCTAGCTACATTCCTTCATTTAGTGCTCCGTCAAAGTGTACTTTGATATCTTCGAATTGGTCGCGAATATTGAATCGAATCAAATTAATTAATTCGATAAAAGCTTTTTATAGAAATCTGTAGACATAGACTTAAGCAATAGCTTAGAGTGGCTCGGAAAATTAATATACTTAGAATGTAAATAACGTACAGCAGCAAAAGTGCACTTGAATGTAAAACTCCGATAAGAGAGGACTCCACTTTGAGGGTGTTTATACCCTTAATTAAATCCAAAGTAGTTGCTTTATATTATTGTTACTACGCGTTGTGCACACCTCATCGTATCTTTAAAATTACATCCACATTTGTGGGCAATACTGTGATATCTATATACCGATAAACGACTAGAGCTTCCTTGACTCAGTATCTATTGTTATCACATACTTATCATAAGCATACAAGATTGTGAGGTATAGGTGTGGGTAAAAAGTTTTACGTGCTTGTTATTGATCAAGCATTTAAAAAATTGGACCTTAAAACAAAAAAAAAAAAAAGAGAAGAAAAAAAAATTCCCCAGCTCATTGACTCTATTCCTCATTCTCTAATTTTATGACATATTTTAAAAAACAATTAATAAACTCTCACCAACGCGAATAAGTACGTTATAAAAAAAACGCGGTCTCTTTGATTTCAGATACAAACCAACGAGGCTGTGGGGCTTCAGCGGTCACGTGCAGACAATTGTCCACAGTATAATTGGCAGAGTGCGCTGTCCGTGGCCGATCGGCGAGCGAGTTTACATCAAATTGGCCGACGAGACGACGCTCACCTACGATCTTTACCAGCCGCTCACGAACGGCCATGAAGGTGATTGTTACCTAATATAATTATCAATGCTAATCATTTAGGGGGAGTGGGGGCTCAAAATTTTTTCTTCTTCCTTTCAACACTGAAATTATTAATAATAATTATACTCTCGTGCTCGAATGTTCGTGTCCTCTTCCATATATGTTTGGGTAAAAATGTTTTGATCATTTAAAAAAAAAAAAAAACTTTTTGCTCTTTTAAAACGTGCATGTTATGAAGATTGGCACTTTATGGCACTAGACAATAAAGTATTATACCAAAAATTAATTGGCCAATCAATCAAAATTATTAATTAACGTCCTGTATCGGTCGAAATTTTTCAGATGACGTGACGATAGCGATATGTCCTGGTATCGGCAACAGCTCGGAATGCGTCTACATAAGGACATTCGTGCACTTTGTCCAGTGCCACGGCTACCGTTGCGCCGTACTCAATCACGTGGGTGCCCTGTCCAGTGTAAAGGTCACCTCGCCCAGGATCTTCTCTTATGGTGCGCTTCGACATAATACTTGATTTCGCACGGCAGTTTAAATGACGCGCGTGTCTAATTTATTTCTTCCTTCTTACCCACAGGTCACACCGAGGATTACCACATGATGCTGAAGAATCTGTTGGAGAAGCACTCGAACACGAAAATAGTCTGCGTAGGCTTCAGTCTTGGCGGTAACATTATAACCAAGTACTTGGGTGAACAGGGAACCAACAAGCTGTCCAACATTATTGGTGGCATTTCCATTTGTCAAGGCTACAATGCCATTGAGTAAGTTTTTTTTTTTATTTGACTTATTTGAGAGAGGCAAATATTTTCATTTTAATTATTGAATTTCCAGAGGCACAAAGTATCTACTGAACTGGACAAACTTCAGGCGTCTCTACCTCTATTTCATGACCGAGTCCGTGAAAAACATCATATTGAGGCACAAGAGCGTACTGTTGTCGGAGGACGTTAAGCAGAGGTTCAATCTGAACGAAAAGGACATTGTGTCGGCAGCTACTTTGCCCGAACTAGATGAAGCGTACACGAGAAAGGTGAGCCTGTGCTTCTTCGAGGAACATGTCAGTCGTGCGTGTATCACTTTTCGAAGATTTCTTATCAAATTTTTTATTTCGTTTACTTTTATAGGTGCACAACTTTAGATCAGTGAACGAGCTGTACAAGTGGAGCAGCTGCGAGTTCTATCTTGACAGTATTGCCACACCCATGGTATTTATCAACGCGATCGATGACCCCATTGTTCCTGAAACATTGCTCACGCCCATCAAAGAATTCGCCGGTAAGCTCAATTTTTTGCCCAAACAAAAGTTTTATGCCCCTCTATACCGAGCGCGTTTGAGTGAAAACGTCTTTTTTGTTTCAGCCACCAAGTCGCAGTCTCTCTACGTCGAATTGTCCCACGGCGGTCATCTGGGCTTCTACGAGGGCGGTCTACTCTATCCGAACCCAATAACCTGGCTCGATCGCACCCTCGTCTCTTTGGTCGGTTCTATAACACTCGCAGCGTCCGATCGCGCTCTCAAGGCCTTTTAAGCTACGCTTCGCGCACACATACCTGGATAATGAATCGAGGCCTGCCGTGACGATGTCACTGCTCGTTGTCGTCGCCGAGGCGCAAGCGTGTCGGCATTTATTTGACAGACGAGTCACGGCACAAAAGTAGCTGATCCGAAATAAAAAAAAAGAAAAAAAAAAGCATCATGCCTCTCGCGAATGCGTGTGTTGTAGCACGAAATAGAACGTGATTGCGAGCGATCGATGCGTTCGTGCGCGTGTGTTTTATTTTTTCATTCACGCTTTTCAAACGCTGGGCATGAGAGGTTTTGTCGCGCAATTTTTTTGCGTCCCGTACTGTTACTATTACTGTTAACGACTATTATTTTTATCATTATTATAGACTGTGCGAATTAATGAGTGTCTTTATGCGTATTTTGTGTGGGAGAGTTTGGAGTGATGGTTCATCTAGTAGGAGGGGGACGATGATTTTTGTTTCATCGTTCGTCTTTTAATGTAAATTGTGTGTTATCTCAATGTTTCAATGGAAAGCGGTTAATATTCAATTGATGTCGTAGAAAACAAGGATGTTACAACACACTTTGTTCAGGATTGAGCGCGTGTCACGTTGCAAAATTTGAATTGTGTCAATTATTTGTTGACGAATTTTCAGAAAAAATGTCTCGGTACGATACGCGACTGTTTGATCAGAATATAGACTGAAACGACGTTTTGGCTGGCCCAGGAAGAAAAGTACCCGCAATTGAATAACCATACGGCATTTTACCGAAAATAATTACAGCCTATATATAAGTATATGATATCGATGTGAAAATCGTTGTATTTATTTATGTTGCTCAGATGTATAAGCATATAAAAGGAAAAAAAAAAAAAAACATTAAATAACTTAATCGTGATTATCAATGATTTAAGTTTTGGGATGGAACAATAACGAATTGCGTTGATCACATGTGCGTAATTCTTTGTTTACATACAAAAATTTTCTCGATGCTGAATTAATATTAGTGATTGGATCATTCCATCGTGCTCCTCCGAGTCTGTAGATTTAAATAGCTCGATCGTAATTATTCCATTGATCATTGATGTGAAACTTGAGGCTGATCGAGGAGTGTTCGCGCTCCTAATGATCCATCATCATATTTAGTTTTAAACTGAAATTATTATTTAAAATACGAAATATGAGTATGAAAAAATGATGGACTTTTATGCATTTTCTTCAATTTCCATTATTACAACAATGGAAATGAAAAAAAGTAAAAAAAAAAAAAAAAAACATTTTACGTACAAGAAACGTCCGTTTTTAAAATAATTTACCACCAAATGATTGAATAAATTTAGAAATTATTTATTCAAGATACATTATTAATGAGGTACCCTTTGAGTGAATTTGTTAATAAACAAATTGACCAAGCGGTCCTTAATTTTTACTATGTAGGTATGTTCATTATCGTTTTTTCAAAAAAGTTGACTTAAAAATCAAATTCCGTAAAACAATATATCATATTTTTATTCTACACTTGACAATTTCAATTTTTAATTTCTGATAAAAAAGGAAAATTAACTCTGGGAACTTTGTGGAGTCATATTTTTCATTAAATTATTTTTTGACCATATAGAGGTACGTTTATACATATATATGTGCGTGTAGTGTATTATGAAGTGAATGTATGCTTATAAGTATACATTTTGACGCTACGAGAGGCAAATTTGAGAAGCAAAGACGAGCCTGTGGCTTGAATTTGTACACACTTTGTTGCTTGCATTTGTAACAACACGTGACACAATCGTGCTAAGAAAACAGAGTCTTGTCGATAGTATAAAATTTTTTTTATCACATGCATAATTCAACAGCTCCATGAAAAACGTTTAGTCTGCAATGTAATTGTTCTTATTTATTGAATTTATGGACTCAGCTTGACTCTGTTTGCTTAACCGTCACAGTTTGAGTGTAAGCTTAATCAGATAGATTATATATTATAGGAAGCCTTGGTTTTAAAAAAGGTTTTTTTTTCGTTGCAACGTTGGCTTGACGCAGTTTTATGCGTACAATGGATAGAATAGACGAAAAAAAAAAAAAAAAAAAAAAAAAAAAAAAAAAAAAAAAAAAAAAACGTGAGGTGTAACAAAAGAAACAGTGTCTTAGTCCAATTGTTGTTGATAGCTCAGATTTTCATGTGTGCATTATTTGAATTGATGGCACACGCTCTGTTAAACACTTTTATTTGTTTTCTTGTTTTTTTTTCTCGACACTCGGATAACTCTAAACATAGATAGTGAGAATCGTACGATTTTCACGTAATATATACGCATTTTTGCTTTAAATTTCCAAACGTGGAACCAAAGGTCTGAATAATTAATTATAAACATACAAAGAATAAAAATAAAAAATAAAAAAACTATAACGAAATAAAATTTTTCCGTGCGAACTGAAAGTTAAATATTTGTTTGTATATTTATATACGTCGGTTATCTCTAGGGATTTTAGACGGATTTTATATACATATATGTATGTGTTTGATATTTTTCACACAAGAGGCAAAAATTATTTAGATAGTTTTTAAAAAACAAACCAACAAACACGGCGAAGTACTCGTTTTTTGTATTTGTTACATCACAATAATATAAGACACGAGAGATATGTACAATGACGCGTGTGTGCGTGTGGTTTGTATAGATATGGTTTAACGATGTTCACGAAATAACGGGAGTTGAAATTTACTAGACAATGAAACACGTAGAAGAACCTTACCCTTTTTTTTATTTTTTTATTTTATTTTTTTTTTTTTTATCAGAGTGCTAAGCGTCAATTGTAATTTAATTTGGTCACGAGCATCGCAATAACCATACTCAATGTACTTTCACCGAAAACAAGTGGTTTAATCTTAAAAAACGTATAAACACAAGCAAATCAATAAATGAGTAAACCAATAATCCAATGACTGTACCGTCAACTCCTTTGCGAGCATTTTTACCGAAATGAATAAACGATGGTGAAAAAACAAACTCTACCGATGGATCATTTCAACGCAATATACACTCGTATACCCTACATTCCCCAACGAATTTGGATTTTCCATCACGTATCATATGTATCACCGTCACTTCTTTTACCGAGAATTCATACACCAATATATAAATATAGACACACGTGTATAAAAATGTACACAAATATTGTATATAGTATATACACACACACGTATGAATCAAACGAACGTAACTTGACAATGTCTGGCCCTGAAATCTATAGTCCTGCAAAATAAGTCGCACAGTCCCTCGTGAAGTGCAAAAGCGGCCAACATGTCCTGTCCCAGTGGCACGGCTCTCCTGTGCTTTCTGGTGCTGTTCGTAACAAAAAGCACCGACTCCAACGAAGTGAGCAGCCAAGACCTGTCGAGCTACTTCGCCCAGAGGAACAGCATCCTCGACGAGGAGCGGTCCATGTACTTTGGCTCGAAAATCCTGCTCGACGAGACCGAGCGCCGTGCGAACGAGGTCCTCATGAGGTACAAGCGCCAAGAGCTGAGGGCAGGGACCCAGGACCCGCGGAGCTTCCTCCCCTCGAGGAACTTTCTGGCCGTGTCGGGCCTCATCGAGCAGTCCCGGGTCTACCAAGTCATCAGGCGCATGCCCAAGGCTGGCCTGTTGCACGCCCACCTGTCGGCCTCCGCCTCGCGGCCCTTTATCCTCCACAACATCACCCGAAGGCCGAACCTCTACGCGTGCCATGGACCCTCTACCATCGTGCGGATGAGGTTCTTCGCTAAGCTGCCCGAGAGCACGGGGGAGGACCGTTGTCGCTGGGAGCTGCTGGACGCGCTCAGGAGAAAGGACCCGACGATCGACCGCAGGATCGCCGAGGCCCTGACCATGTTTGAACCCGATCCCCGGAAGACCCCGAGGGGCGCCAGGGACGCCTGGAAGAGGTTCGAGGGTATCTTTGACTTTGTCAAGCCTCTCGTGACTTACAGGTTTTTTCTTTTTTTCTTTTTTTCTTTTCCTACGTTCGGTGGTCAAAGTAACGATAATAACCAACTGTCGCGGCCAGGCCAGCCTACGAGGACTTTTTGTACCACCTGCTGGAGGAGCTTTACGAGGACAACGTGCAGTTCGTCGAGATACGCACGAGTTTTTCCTCCCTTTACGAACTTAACGGCCACGAGCACGACCACTTGCAGGTGATCGGTATCTACAACAGAGTCGTCGATCGGTAAGCCGCCGCTGACGTAATTGTATTCACACACGTAATCCGCGTATGATATTATGTATACGTATGTGAATAATCGCAGATTCAAGCGCGACCATCCGGACTTTGTGGGCGTCAAGTGGATCTATTCGCGCCGGCGCAAAGTCGAGCTGTCGGCCTTTCAGGGCTACACCCGGGTTTTTCGGTCCCTGCGCCGCGCGTACCCGAACCACGTGGTCGGCTTCGACCTGATCGGCCAGGAGGACATCGGCCGGCCGCTCAAGGATTTTTTGAGCGAGTTGCTGGCTCTTGGGACGGAGACGCAGTTTTTCTTCCACGCCGGCGAGACCAACTGGAACGGCCTGGCCATAGATGAGAATCTCGTCGACGCCGCGCTGCTCAACACCAAGAGGATCGGCCACGGGTAAGTTGGATGGTTATTGTCATTATATCTCATTCGATAAGGGTAAATGTGGTGTTGCTGCTGCTGCTGCTGCTGCTGTTGTTATCGTTTCCTCGCTGTGTAAATATAAATCTAAAATTGTTTTGATTCCCAATGATAACGCGCTGTAGACTTATTTACAACCTTTGTGTGTACAAATATTTGTTGACCGTGAAACATGAAGCTTTACCGGTTGTAATGTATAGTCGTGTCGAAGCGTTATTTGACTAAAAATTACTTTTGGACTCCATTCGCGCCAAATTGCCCATACATGGAGTGCCAAATCGTTATTACCATTTTTATGATATGGCAAACATGAAGGACCGAGACGATTTATTGTAGTTGAAAATAAAATATGCACCATCTATCCTTACTACAAACTAGACTTTGGCACTATTGTAACATGGATTTATGAATTTTTTTTTTTTTTTTTTTTTTTTTTTTTTTTTTTTTTTTTTTTTT